CTACTATAATATACTATAATATACTCCCCATCCCCGAAAGAAGCGCCAGGATGCACAGGCCCGCATCGACGCGCCCCTGGAGATCGAGTTCCGAGCGGGATACTCCGACGACACAGGCCGGCAGGGCGGGCTGTTGAGGTTTAGGGTTCACCTTGGAGTGATTCAAGTCGTCACGAAAAAAAGATGATGTTGGGAATAAGACTAGAAATCAGAGTAGTATTGAACATACGGAGTCTCACAGCAATAGTTGCAATTCTAGGGCCTATGGTTGAGAATTAGGGCTTTTGATGGTGATGTGAAGGGTGGTGAAGTTCATGACGCCGAGGCTTGATGGTTCCATCATTAGAGTCGGGTTTCGGGATTTATTGTAGTATGATGACATCAGGGAACACGAAAAGTCAAGATTAGAGTGTCAATTTCGCACTCCTTTGCTAAGATGTTTGTCGCGCACCGCCCCGTATTTGCTTCATGGATCAGCCGGTAGTGTGTTTCGAGTTAGAGATTTTTGTGTTTTTGTTGGGGGGAAGGATCAGGTTTCACAGAGGCGTTATCCCAGGCACGGTCAAGTATCGGGTTTTATAAAAGGAGGAATTAGTCGCCCCCTTGCCGCATAGTTCCGCCGGTACCGTTCTTCTAACAATACCCAAGCACCTTCTTCTGACATCGTTCTAAGGATCATACTGTTGATGATATATATCCTNNAAGGAATATGCCATAATTCTCATAGTGAAGGGTCCTTAAAGGTGTGCAGGGTGGCTATGCTGTTGTGCGGGGTTGTGTAAGCTTACTATTCTATTTCGGGCTTTGTAGGGCTTTTGAAGGGTGATACGGGCTTATCATGTAATAGACACTTCATGATGGTTTAGCATAATGCGTTTGTGGGCACGGATGTCGGCTTCTTATTATTTCTTTGGCATCGTTGCTAAGGGGAGGGGCGAATTCATCAGGTGTCTAAGTTCAACTAGCCCGCGAAGCCCCAAAGCCTGGATGCTATTCGTAGTAGCTGAATGAAGACACTCTAGACTTTTTTGGATAACATGATCCCTTGCAGAACTTATTGTCTACACTTCTTTTGTGCTTTTGAACTCAGCAACCAAGTAAGCAAAGCTCAAGCCTTTGCAGAGATTGTGTAAACAAAACTCTACCCCGCAGCCGAAGCCTAATGTGGGGGCCTTATAAAGATTAGAATAGTGTTTAATGGGCCGTGCCTGCTTACAACTCTTGTAACAGGCCCTGAGATTAACCCCCTTAAAGCTGAAGTCCTCAATCCCCAACTCCCCCCCCCCCCCCCCGGAACCGCAAGCCTCGGAAGCCTCTCCGGTGCTAGGAAATGAGCTGGTGGAAGATGGTCGCTTGACTTCTATACCAGTGGAAGAACCCGATCATGAGTCCGATAAAGCAAGAAGACGCCGTTCCCTACAAACGACTCACACCCGGTGCGGGGTTTCTATGCAGGCCCTTTGAGGATCCGGTAAAATGGAGCCAACAAGGCCTTACCTTGTCCCATACAACTGTCGGATATCTTCTGGCGGGTTAATTCATGCAAGGAGTCTGGGGTAGGGTTCAGGGTTTAGGGNNNNAGAATATCGCCCTAAACCCTAAACCCTAAACCCCTAAATCCTAAACCCCCGGCTTTCGAGTCTAATCAGACCCCAAACCCAATCATCGAGTATACCCTGAGCCATAGCTGTCTTCGTCTTTTTGGGGATGCATTCAGCCACAGGGCTCTATACTCAAGTCTCCCTGTTACTGCCGAAGCAGGAGCTTCTGAAAAGAGCTTCCTACATTGAACCCTAAACCCTAAACCCTTAGTGTATGGTCCCTTGCTCCTGGCTACTGCCTCGACCAAAGTGGTATTCCCGACCAAATGCGAAAAGGAAAAGAGGTAATAAAACAACCCTAAACCCTAGACCCTAAACCAATATTGGGTTGAGGGCCGGATTTGGGGTTGGCAGTTGCTTTTGAACGAGGTGTGAGCAACTGTTCGAAGTCTGCCGGTTGGTGCTGAAAGCTGACGACCACGACTTATACATGTTTTGTTGTGCATGCGTCAGGAGATTCGTGACGGCGGTTGTTAGTTGCAACGTCGGCGGTGATGTGTCGGCTTGTCTTGATCTGCACATTTTTGACACTACAACATACTTAGACATACTTTTTCCTCGAAAGCTTACCGGCGCCTGGAGTTGTGCGCTCCGCCTCAGTTTCCTCCGCTTACCCGGCAGTTTGAACAGGCCTTGATGCCAATATTTCGTTATGCTAACCCTTAGACTTCCGCGAGATAGTCAGAGCTTAGTCGCTAACCACCGACACCCTGTCCCCGTGAAACCCAAAAATCCAAAGCTCCTCTGTCTAGTCCTGTAAACACGAGCCCTAAACGTCTGAGTCTGTGAGTCGATGACCGTCGAGTAAGCCCTAAACCCTACACAAGAACCCAGTAAGCCTCAGACCGCCCCGTTTTCAGGTGAAGACCAGGGAGGGCCCCGGAGGCAATGACTGGAAAGCACGGTGTGCTTTTTCTGGGGTCCCTTTTTGGTGTTTAGGGTTAGGGTTTAGGGGTTGACCGGCAGAGGAGGCAGTGCTGGCAGTCATCAAGTCCGGTTTCACTAGGGTTTAGGGTAGGGTTACTGTCATGGCTTCTGCAGTAAATTCAAAGGTTCCTTCGGGACCATTCGTCATCACGGATCCGGGGCTGCGGGATCATGACTGGTAGGTTCCTAGAACGTCTCCTTTCAGGGTCTATGGCCTTTGGGCCATAACCTATGTCATAGGGGCCATGTAACATGTAGGTTCAGTGGTTGCTGGGGTTTAGGGTTCAGCGCCCTCGACCCCCCGAAACCCGACACCATAAACGCCTGAACCCCCCCAAAGCCTGGGCCCCTAAAGCTCTAAACTCGGCCTTAAACCTGAAAGCCGTGAGGCAATGGATGGACAGAGCCTGCCGCTACTTCATCGCCTCGGACCTATTCATGTCCCCTTCTGAGGCCCTGGGATATATTATTTTGATAAAGTTCATAGCGGGAGTACCAGCAGATAGTAGTATCAGTATGGTAAAGTTAATGCAGCAACTGTCAGGGGATAGTGAGGTCTAACACATATCGGCGCGAATACGAACCGATACTATTCATCAGGGTTTCTTTGTGTAACCCCAACGCCCATGGAATCTTTGCAGGATGCCGCTCACCTTGAGATGAGCAACGACTGGCACCGCGGTCCCCTCTCTCGGGGAAGGATCGTCGTGCCCTCGCCGGACAACGTGTGCCAGTGTGTACAGGACGGAGTTCAACGATTTTGGGACATAGCGTCGGGCTTAGGGGCTTAGGATTCATGGTCGTGATTTATGCGGGCTGAAGGCCCTTATCTGAGCTCTGCAGATGGACTTTGTTTCGTCTAGCATTTGGGGGTTGGCGATCTGCGTTGTATTTTCTCGCTGAAGCTTTGGCATACATCTAAACTCTACAGCCTAAACCGAAGCCAGCGAAACCCTGTCTTAAATCCACATCCTAAGCCCCAAACCCTTAACCGAGATCCCTGCAGTGCGACCTCGTCAGCTAAGCGGGTTGGAAAGCCTTCAACCGAAATCCACGAAGTGCTCGGGGCTCTCTGCATTTTTGACGAGGAAGACTGGACGGAGCAGTTCGAGCTCTTCGGTTGCGTTATCGGCTTTGCGATCCTCCACAAGGAGCGAAAAGAAGTCTGAAGTAGCCTGAATTTCTGGTAATGGTATCCCTTGGGTTGCTTACTATTTAATGATCTCATACCAGAACATACCACAAGGATTCCACGTGAACTACAATTCGGTACTGTAGGGGAAGAGTGGCTACCTACCAGGCGCTCTTGGTTGCAAGCCTGCAGCAAAAAGGGGCTTGTGGCTTTAGAGAGCCTGGGATCGCCAGAGGCTCATTTGGCATGTTTTGGGGTTGTAGGATGTTTTGAGCCGTTGCAGGAGATAGTAGGGTGAAGGCTCTGAGACGGAAGCCAAGCCCTCTTTTGCAGGCTATGACGGACATTCTTGGTAATTCCTTTCGCTCTCTCTCGCTCGCTCGCGCTCTCTCTCTCTCTCTCTCTCTCTCTCTCTCTATACATATATATATATATATTCGTAGAGATACACACATATCTTTAGTTATCTACATATACATGTGTACAAAAAAGCGGCTTCGTCGATCTCGTCGGAAAACGGGATTGTGGGTTCTGTAGGTAAGCCCAGGACCTTGAACCTTTGAATTCATTTCAATCGCCTTAAGTAAACTCGACACGCGACACCCCAAACCCTAAATAAAAGCCTGCATTCCGACATCTCTGAAACGCTAAAAGCCCTACTTGGAGGTTCATGGGTAGTTATAAGTGGGGTTATAAGTAAGGTAACGATAGTTCTAACCCACATCAGGGGACTTATAACCATACTTATAACTACCCCTAAACCCTAAACCCGAAAAGCCCTAAAGGAACCCTTTAAAGGGACCCTTAAAGGAACCCCAGAACCCATACTTTTCACTACTCATGAACCTCCCAGTAGGGCCCTGAATACGAAAGCTTGAATCCCACACCCGAAACTCCAAAGCTAAGCCTTGCCTGCCGTGTGCGAGTCGTGAGAGTCGATTGCCTAAAGACCTAAACCGGTTTAGGGTTTAGGGCTTAGGGGGTTTAGGGTTTAGGGTTATCAGTATGCGATAGACTTTTCAGGCCTCTAGTGTTGAGGGATTTAGGTTTGAGGTTGGCGGCGCTTCCCGGATGCAATAGTCTGGAAGTGCTGCTTCCCAGCTGATTGGCAGAGTCTGGGTTCAAAAAAAGGGTTTAGGGGTTTAGGGTTTAGGGGGTTTAGGGTTTAGGGTCCTGAAGTCCTGAAGCCAGGAGACGATACCGGTGCACTTTGGGCACAACTTCCTACGGTCGGTGTGCCCTGGCGCGTCCGGGGAAGCTTCGGTGGAGATGATGCTGATAAATAGGGGCCCCCAATAATTACCAATACTATTGTAGGGATTCGCTGTTATGATTGTAGTATAACATACCCCAAAATCCTGTTCTAGTTATTAAGGCCCCTACATTGGGCGCGCGCGTCTAGAGCTGGGCTCAAGGGATTCAGGGCCTAGTGCATTGCGATGAGAAGGGGTTTATGGTTTCGTAGATGCTCTAAGCCGCCACGTTGCAACTCCATCATCACAATCCCTCGTGATGACGGAAGGTACAGGATTATCTTTCCAACACTAGGATTGCCTGCCACGGAGTCTTTAGCAAAATGGACCCCGCTATTCGGGATGCAGACCGGGGCTCCCAAGCTTTACAGGTGCCGCAAGGACTTCAGAACCCAATTCTCAAGACTTCGGCCCCTGATGCCGCAATCAGGCCTAAACCCTAAACCCCTAAACCCTAAAACCTTACGGAGCCATTTTGGCTCAAGTCTGGTTGTGAGCTCTGCCCCTCTCGTTTCATCCTCTGGAGACCTCTAACCTCTAGTCCCCTTCGCCCCTCGGACATCCTAGGTTTCTTACGATGTCTGGTCCGGTCGATCGTGGTGGGGATGCGGTGATGGATGAGGAAACTCAGCTTCTCGGTGAAGAGGAAGATGGTGATGATGAAAGCCCTCTTGCTTCTGCAGGGCCTGCGCTCCCCGAACCCAAAACGCCCTCTATCCTCGCCCGTAGTCCCCGCGGCCCCGAGGGATTAGCAGGAAGACTTTTGAAGGACGATGAGTCAGCCAGACGAGAGGCTCTCCAGGACGCTGCGAGCGCTGCCGAGGCCCTGAAAGCTGCGAAGGGAGAACTAGATGTGATTCCCCTGGAAGCCCCTAATCCCTATGTTGCGGCCTCTCTCCCAAATACTGCCCCCGGGGATAAACCCACATTGCCCAAGCTGAAACCTAAAGCCTCCGAGAAGACCCGCAGATTCGAAAGCCCCGAAAAGAAACATAAAACCGATCCGAAGGCTGTTGCACGAAAACCTGGGGAAGGGCTGGAAGCCCCACCTCTTTTCGGTGGGAAGGGAGGCAAGGCCGGACCCTCGAACCCCAAACCTCCTGAAGTTTTTCACCTGGACCCTGCGGTGCCCAGTTGGGTCTCCGAACTCAGGGATATGGTTACGGGAGGGCAAAGAGAAATTATGAGTGAGCTCCATAACCACAAGACTCAGCTCACGCAGGTCGGTCATCAGGTTCAGCATCTGGATAGAAAGCAGGAAGACCTTTCTAAAGCACAGGCCGACATGTTCGAGCGCCTGAACCAGATGGAGGCTGAGGTCAAAGAACTGCGATCTCGCTCTAGATCGGTCAGCCCCGCTCCCCCGCACCTCCCCCATCCCGACCTGAGTCCTAGGTCCACCACAGCCAGCACTATTAACAAACAGGTTGTCGACGACTTCCAGGTTGTTATTGGAGGGTGGGAGGAAGCTAAGAGGGCCGAGGTTGAAAACGAAATTAGGCAGCTCTTTGAGAAGATTAATGCTACCCCTCTTCTGCATAACATCCATGTGCCGTTCGTTAGGACCAAGTTTGCACGGGTAGAGCTGTTGTACACAGACCAAAACTTTGCCGAGAGACGTCGGGTTCAAAGCTTGGTCATTAATGCCCTCAAAACTCTCTTCAACACCTACTATAGCTCTATCCCCGGGCAGCAAGCTCGGAAGCTCTGGATTACCAGAAATCGCAGCCGCGAAGAGCGGGAGAAGATTCGTGCCTTGGTCAGCAACAAGGAGTGGGCACTGAAACATACCTCGGAAATCTTCATCGACCTCGATTGGAGAGGACGGCTCTGGATTCGGGGTGAACAAGTTCTGTATTGGGTCCAAAGCAAGAAACCCTCTGACGGAGCCATGATGCTGACGAATGCTAATGGGGATGAAACCGGTTGGTGGGTGCATGCCCCGCAGCTAGGACGTCTTCTCTCCTTGGATCCTGAGCAGGTTCGGGAGGAACTCCTCAATTGACTAGGAGCCCCCAAAAAAGCAGCTGCCCCCCCAACAACCAGCAAGCGAATTCATGAATTTGTTGCCAAACAGTGGAACCTGCATGGTAAGCATTTGCAGGTGCTTGCTAATTTGCTCGATAAGCTCGAGGACCCAGTTGATATCCTCTTCCTCCAAGAAGTTGGAGGGTTTTCCACGGTCCCTGAAGGGGAATGGAAAACTGATAACTTGTGTTTTTGTGGAGAGACCTACAGAGCTTTTATCTTTCAGTCGCCTTTGGCACATCGTGCGACAGCACTTTTGTTTCGCCAGAGCATTGCGCTGGAGGTTGTGGCACGTCACACATTTGGTGTCGGCTTTCTTCTCCAGTGTAGGCTAGAAGCGCGACATTATTGGTTTGGCACAGCGCACTTGCCCCATGAGAAGAGAGCTGACTCGGAGGACGTATGGCTCAGCTGCCTGGCTCAGCTGGATGAAACCTTGGCGCTAGCCCGATACCATGACGTGATCCTCTTAGGCATTGATGCTAACCAGAATTTACTGCATGCGAATCCGAATTTCCCTGCCCTTGCGAGACTGCAATTCCTTGTTCAGCACCGAGGACTGGAATTCAATGCATGCTGCGGTGTTACGTGGGAAGCGAGGGGTGAGAGTAGCACCGTCGATTGGCTTCTCTTCAGGTGGCCCATGTCAGAGGTGTCCTTCCACCTTCGTGAGGACCTTCGTAAAGCCTTACCATCAGACCATGTGCCACTCTTCGGTGTTTTCACTGGGAGACTCGGCCTCAAACTCAGACCTCCTAGGCCCAAACACGGGTGTGGTAGGTGGATCACTGACACGGCAACCCTTGAAGCTGCCGCCCAGGATCCTGCCTTTCAGTTCTCCCAAGAGTCCTTTGCAGATTTGTGTCGTAAGCATTCCCGGCGAGTCTCCTCCCTGCGTTACTCTGATCCTCCTCATGTACAGGAACTGATCCGACAAAGGAAAACCTGCAGTGACCCTGAGGAAAGGGCTCGTCTGTCCTCCGAGGTCACCCAAGCCCGCCATCTAGCTCAGAAACAGCATAAGCTGAAACTGCTTGAAGATGCTCGCTTGGGAGACCGAGCTGCCATCGGACACTTACGCAGGAGTGCATTGCAAAGTTCCTCGGATGGGAGCTTCATCGAGCGTGGGGGCGAAGATTCTGCATGCGAGTCGGTTCGTGCTTTCTATGCTAAGAAATACACCCTCCCGCCATCGGATCACCCTGTATCAGAGGTCCAACAGGACGCACTGAAACGCAAACATTCTCCTGCAGAAGCCAGCCCTATAACAGACGAAGAGATTGCGGCAGCTATCGCTTGCACCAAGACCTCCACATCTTCAGGTCTGGATTCGGTTTGCTATGCTGCAATTAGAACCTTCCATTCGAAGGACTCCCAGGGGAAGCTCAGGACCTTCTTCGACCGGATCCTGACAGGATCCATCGACGTTCCGCGGGACTGGGTCACAGGTAAAATCTGCCGGCCTACCAGAGTCCAGGACATGCGCCCCATTAGCCTAACACCCTGCCTGGGGAAAATCTTTTGTAAAATTCTGATAAAACGACTCCGACCTTTGTTCCCTCCCTATCAGGCCGGACAACATGCGTGCCGCCCTGGTACACAGGCGATCGAAGCTGTATCAGCTGCCCAAGCTACACTCCGTATTTTCAAACAAGCAACCGGGAAACAACTGTTGGTGTGCAAGTTGGATATCAGCCAAGCCTTTGACACTCTTTCCCATCATGCGATATGGAGGTACCACAGAGCCATCGTGTGA